TCGTAAACTTGTCATGTCTTTTATAATAGGGTGTTATACTCCGATTGCAAATGTACATGTAAGTGCTTATGTAAGTTAAACGACAAAAAAAATATTCCAAAAAATTAAAAACGTTTTCTTACCTTAAAATTAAATCATAATTAGATTTTATTACACCCATAAAAACACCGTCTGCCATATTCATGATGTCATTCGGTTATGTACAGATTGAAATATCAATAATAATAATTAAATAACATTATGTACAGATTAAATTTTTTTACCAATCAACTAATTTAACAAATGTAATGTAGGGAACTATGTGTTTATTCATGTTTCAATTTTATGTTCATATAAATTTGCATAACTGTTTGATTCTGTATAAAAAATTAAAAAAGATGTTATTCAAACGAGAACGGTGCTATCTAACGATCTCGACAAAAAAAAAATAATAAATAAGGTTAGAACAGTGTTATCTCGGAATCTGCTTTTTCTGTCAAATAGGCTGCTGTTTATTTATTTTTTGACAACCACTGACAGATGTCAATTTCAGAAAATATTCAAACGAAGCGTCGTCACGTAATGGTGGGTTATGTTTTTAGGTCACATGATGAACAGACAAAAAAACTGGACCTTTAATTTTGATATGTTAAGATAATTATGCGATTTTATTAGTCAAAATCAGCCTAGGTATGATTATTTCAAAGCAAATTTCAATGATTCTGCAAATTCGTGCTTTACGTTTCACTATCGAAACTACCCAATCCACTATCGAAATAACCAAATATGCTTAAAATTGTATTATTTTTGTTGCAATACAACTATAGTCTATTGAATATCGTTTAAAATTGTGTACTAGTCCGGAACACTGTACATTTACCTTACAGAAAAATCTACGGTTTTAATTATCGATAATTGTATAGCTATACCTGTTTCGTACTGCAATAGTTTGCAAAACAATAAAGGATATCTAAAGGTATTTTTGTATCAAATTACCGCGAAATTTGTTCAGTAGTTTTTCCATGAAAATGTCAAAAATAATATCTATACAATTATTAAATATAATAATTAATATTTTAGTATAAACACATTAATAATTTTTAATATTATATCTCTCATAATAAAAAATATTGGGTAAAAGAATTAAGATAAAAAAAACATGAAACTTGGTTAAGATCTGCGGCACAATGAGTACCTAGCGACCAGCACATAGGACATTGCGCCATACCAAACACTAGTAAAGTTTGAGAAAATCCTGTACATTATTATTTAGTACACTGTTACCATAATTTTCAAATTCATTCAATAGTAACTAATTCCCTTTTTTATATCTGTTTTATAAAGTAATACCTATTTATTGAACTATTTTATTTACACAATATGATTGATTAGGAATTATTTTTTAACGGTCTACGGTCTACGGGATGCTTTTTGCATGAAAATGTCAAACTTTTGCAAACACATACTTTTATGGAAATATTTACCTATTGTCAAATTTTATGTTATATATTTTTACAGCAATTAAATTTATCAACTAGACTATACTCCATTAATTATAGCATAAGACAGAAGTGAAATAAGGTTCTTGTTATGGTATACTTTGTGACAAAATATCAATAATCATGTTACTTTGAAGACTAACGGCAAATTTGCTACATACTCACTTAAATATCAGCTACTATGCTTAACTGTTGTCATTGAAGCTAACTATTAAACAAATTTATGAGTATATGACTAACTGAAATGATTTAATAAGTATTACAATAAAAAGTGTCCATCGTAAAGAACCTAAAGAAGCAGGGTTGGATAGTTTCGGCACGATTCTCACGTCACTATAACTCTACCAAATTTAAAACGTTGCCTAACTCCTTCAAGCGTTTCGGTAGTACAGCTTTTTAATTTTGTCAGACTATTATTTATTAATAATTGTTAAAATCGTTATCTGGGATTGTCATCCATTGTGAATGCTACTGCTTTTCTTGTTGTTTAGCCGTTTTCCGTGATGTTATTGTTTTATTTTTGTTGTTAAGTTTTGGTAAATATGGACGATGTCGGTACAGGCCCGAGTGGCCTACAAAAATTACGCTCTAGGCCCCCATACCTACCCTCAAACTTTGACATTTCAGGGAGTTTTTTCAATGTCTTCATCAATAGTCTAACTTATTACACTTACAATTAGAATTTATCAAAACACACAGATAGTTTCAGTTTTAGTTCCATGTTGGCTTAGGACTAAAAGATGAATTTATAAAATGCTGGCCTCATCTCAACCCCGAGGTATCAAAAAAAATGGAAAATTACCCAGCTCTTTCAGACTACCTAACATTCAAAGTCTCAACAAAACTAATATAGATTTTTTAATTTTATCTTGAAAATAAAATGTTCTGCACTGCTGCTTCTATGACCCTCTTTTTTCTAATGTTATAGTGAATGGAGTATAGATAATTAAATAATACTTAATTACTGTATAAAATAATATTCAAAATTATTTTAACGAATTATTAATGAATAACATATACCTATAAAAAATGAGAGAGGAAAATATATTAGGAAAAAGAAGATAAAAGTAAAAAAAATGCTTCTCTGATGGGATTGGAACATGAACTAGTATTTTATTGGAACTATTTCATCAATATCGGGGCTTTTGTATGAAAATGTCAGTCTGACTTTCGCCTACGTCCTACTAAAAATATTTATTTTCACATTTTATACTGTTTAAAAATCAAATAAAATAAATAAAAGTTGCTTATTAAAATTATGACACAAAGAAAAATAAAATAATAAAAAAACTACTTGAAAAAATGCGAGCTCTAGTGGGATTAGAACTTATAACTTCGAGACACTCGGGTCCCTTCCCTAGTACATTACACCAAAAATATTGTTAAAATGAGAGTGAAATTAAAATACTTATTTTAAATGTTCTTTTTTTTACAATTTTAGTGATCTCGGTACGTCAGAAAGCTGCACAAAGCAACATAAGTCTATCTAGCAACACGCCTCAGCGTGAACTAACTTAGTGTGCGTTATTCTATAGCCTTCCCTGTCAATTGCAGTAGGAGTGACAGAAATGTCAATACTTTAAAGTTGCTTGAAAAAAATGACCATATGTGCCATATCACAAAATAAATCATATTAATTATTATAATAACATTATCAAAAATTGGGAATAACCAACTTTTATATCAATCTTTGATACATATTTGTACTCAATATCATTACTCTAATGTATCACATAATTGAGAAACGTGCCTTTCGCAATATTTTCAGATGCTACTTTGGAATTATTTTCTATCGAGTGAAGTTAATACAATAATGTTACGGTTTCAACCACAAGATCAGAAATACGATCAAGTATAACCACAAATTTACGGATAGCCATAGGTTTCCCGTGAATTAGTACAACTCAAGATCAATTTTATCGATTCGGGAGTATTCAGCCCCTTAACTTTGTTCTTATTTGTGCGTTAATATTTGTAGCTGTATAATGAAAGTTGTTATGTTTGTATGTAAATAATTTAATGCCATATTATTTTAGCAAATTTTTATTATATATTTTCCCTTTTTTTTTCAGTTTTCAAAACGTACTTTGTTCCATATTAGTGCAATTAAATTTATATTGTTAAATATTTGTACTTTCGCTTGTGTACCTTAGTGTATTAAACTAACACGAGTTGCCAAAGGCAGGCGTACCCCTCTTTTCAAAATTTTCTTCCCTACCTTACGCGCCATTCACGAATTGCAACGCGCGTGGAAAGAGCTCCGATATAAGTGCTTATTACACAAAAACTTCTGTGGGGTAATTTATGAAAACGAGTTTTTTTTTAAACTATGATGAATTTTGACTTAGTAGACCGTTATAACTACACAGTTATACATGTGTTATCAACAGTAATGTATTTAAAATTAATGTATGTATTTTAAATACATTACTGTTGATGACAATTATTATTATTGATAATGCGTTTGTATAGCGCTTTATATTACATTTTTATGTTTGCGTTTTAATTTCTTAATATAATTGGTATACTATAAAAAAACTTAAAGTATACGTCGAATTTTTTTATACTACAATAACATGTTACTAGTTCAAAATAGGTATATTAAATTTTTAAGTTGGCGACACTGTTAAAAAGCCAGTGTTGGGACATCACAATCATGTCGATATCGAATTTATCCAGTTGATATTCCTATAAAACAACTATCACTTACAATTTTAAGATTTTTTATCATTGTCGCCTTGGTGGACTTGGTTTGTAATTTTGGGTGGTTTATTAATCAGTTATCGTCTAACAATATTTACAAAAATATTTAATGCAGAAACCTTTTATTTACCAATTAGATGACCCAGCGTACTACGTATAGTCTTAAATTAATTTAAAAATGTGACCAAATTATTTCGAATTTATTATCATTAATAATAAGATTATTAAAACTCTATTAAGATTTATTTCTTTTAAGCTGATTTTATAAGACTGAATTCATAAATACAAGCGTAACAATATGTTTGTTGATTTGTTTATATTTTTATGTGATACCAACATACTTTTTTTGGAATAAAAAATATTTTTTGTTTCTTAAAAAATGGTACTGTGCAAATTAAAGGCATATTTTACCCATTAAAATCCCATAAGTAAGGAACATGAGGTTAAAAATATGAATGTTACGAGGATGGATTGAAAAGTTCGCGGCATAACACATAAATACTTAAACTATTTTAATGTAACTCATTCGATTAGTTTACTCTCTGGTTGTCAAATTGTAAAATTCTAGCTCAATAGCATCAACTGTATTTAAATTAGACTGAATTTTATGAGCCATTGTGCAGTATTTTTAAAGAATGGAGAAAATTGCGCAACGTGCTGTCATCAAATACCTGTTTAAAAAAAACTAACTCCAAAAGAGATTCACGAAGATTTGTCAACAACATTGGGGGAATCTGTTCCGTCGTATACGACTGTGAAAAAGTGGGTTGCTGAATTTAACGAGAGAGTATTGAAGATGACCCTCACTCTGGCCGGCCTATGACGTCTACGACTGAAGAAAACATCGGGAAAATCTGTGATCTGATATTGACAGATCGGAGATTGACCATCACGATGATTGCAGACACTATTAGCATCTCGTAGGAATGAACACAAAACATCATAGTCAATGAACTTGGATTTTATAAGGTTTCTGCGCGGTGAGTACCCAGATTGCTTTCAGTCGAACAAATACGAATACGGCCTCACGATTTCTCGCGACTGTTTGGAAATGTTTGAGGCTGATCCACGAAATTCTTTATCCAGATTTGTAACAACGGATGAAACTTGAGCACACCACTACACCCCAGAGTCAAAACAGCAATTCAAGCAGTGGAAAAAACGTGATGAACCGACTCCAAAAAAGCCAAAACAATTTTGTCAGCTGGAAAGGTGATGGCGTCAGTTATTTGGGATACTAATGGTGTCATCATGGTGGACTACCTTGCAAAAGGTGAAACTTCATCAAAAATTTCATCAAATGAGGAGGTCGAAGCTGTGGTGGGTGACTTTTTTGCTGGCCTTGAAGAAATTTTTTTTTGACCGGCGTACAGGCGTTGGAAACCAGATGGAAGAAGTGCATAAAGTTAAATGGAGATTACGTGGAAAAATAAAATTACTTTTGCTTATATTTTAAATTGTTTTCTTGCTGAGGCCGCGAACTTTTCTATCCACTATAGAAAAAGAAGTAGATGTAATCAACGCTAATAACTTCTCACGAAAGTATTTTGATACAAATCGCACGCTAGCGTACTGATACGATTTCGATCACGGTACTTGCCTAAGTGTGCAGTAAAATGTTGTATTGCATTGCCGACCAACCTTTACATTGCGCTTTTCACAATTTTTTGACATACTTTATTATAAATCTATCTATTAGGTACATATCTCCAATTTTAATGGAAAATATCTTAGTAACGTTATATAAATTTTACTAGTTCTAATTTTCGCGTAGGTACCATTTTAACGCGCGTTCTATTTAAAAAAGTTTCACACAAACTGTTCTTTTTAAAGGATCGTTACTACATTACTGATATACAGTACTAGATTACAAAAACGTTTGCTTTAAGAGTGCTTTAACACGCCATCCTATGTCAATATGTTGTTATACTCTGTCACAGTACCACCATGCTAAATAAGGCTAGTTGACAACTTTGTTTTATTTTTTATCTCTGATTTGATATCCGGTCTTGAGGTCTAATCGTTATACCGCGCATGCTGTATTGATATTTATTGTTGATCAAATATTTTGTTTGTGGTAGGACGAACCCGACCGCGGCGCCGTATGAGCTGACATCGGACCCGGGCGCGGGCACAGGTGGCGGAGCGTGCGTGGAGGCAGGGCGCGCGCTCCAGGCCGCGCCGCCGCCGTTCTACGCCACTATGCAGGAGCCGAGCAAAGCAAAACAGGCTGTCTAGTGAGTTACCTACTTCTAGTGTTAGTGAGTTAACTAGAATGTATTATTGTCTATGATAATCACGATGTCTCGACGAATTTTAGTCTATATAGTATAATAGGATGATGAAAAAGATTCTTCGCATTGTATAAATTTTTTTTTTTTTATAAATTTATTTATATTAAACTACAGTATGTAGATACCATTTTATTTGATAACTTCTTGCTATCTTAAATGTAGAGACATAATCCCATTGCTATAAAAAATTTGAGGCTTCTGATCAAAAAATCGCGGCAAGTGGTTTTGACAGGTTTCGCTTGATGTTAACTTGAAGAATTCTGAAGAGACCGAAACGGATGGCATTCTAAAGATACAAGGTCAGGACTATACGGTGGATTCGTTAACAGTTCCCAACTAAACTCTTAATTTTTTTTAGTTGTTCACAGTAGAGTTCAGAATAGATGGCCCTGAATGGCCGTAACAGCACATAATGAATAATGTCCTTCCAATCCAACCATTCATACGGCCTTACCTTGTTGTAAGTTAACCCGGGTTTCGCCACAGTCTGTGAAGCCTGACCTATCTTCGAACACGATCTTTTTCGCACGTTCGCGTCAAAACTGTTTTGTGGTCAATCCCCAGTTCTTTAGCTATGTCGTAACTGTCCAAATGTATATCAAGGGTATATCAAGGAATAAGACAACTGAAACAACTGAAACTGCTATATTCCGGAACGTATAGACAAAATTTATTCTTAAACATGAAAGTAAGTTATATAACGCGAAAAGTAAAATCATACTGCGATGCATTTAGCGCTATCTCACTAGAGTATCACTATACTATGTAATCAATGTAATAAATAAATACATCACAGTATATATATATACAAATTGGACATACCGCCCACCAAGGAAGGATAGTCCGTTATAACACAGAATTAAAATTAAGCAGCATTATAACAAAACAAAAACAATTGTAACCTTCAATGGACTGTAATATACACAAAAATAAGTTTAAATTATCAAAAAATCAAACTTAACTTAGTTATGGAAAACTTAATTGTCAATGTTAATAGGTAAAGGACAAAGTTTTGATGCTGTTCGCTTAGTAAGGGCATTTTTGTAACGTTAATAATAATAATAATAAATTTTATTTCGGACATCCAAGATCCATATTGTTAGTTAGAACTTAACTTATGTTAGCTGATTACAAATAATTAATAAAGAATAGAATATTGATGGAATAGTTTCCTATTTCATCAATACTCGGGCACAGTGTATGAAAAAGGGACTATCCCATTTTTCAGATATCGTATGTAGGATGATGTTGGTGCTATCGCGTGTTCTGTATAGTAAGGACGCTATTTTCTTACGTATACACGCTTGAAACCCGTCTGTGCGTGCCTCCGCGAACATGCCTGACGCACTGCAGAACCGCGGGAGCCCCAACAACATCCTAATCGCGTTATTATATTGGACACGAAGAGCGTTGATCGCTTTTTGAGTATACATTGTCCATAGGCTACCCGTGTAAAAGTTTTGACAAAATGATTTAAATAGTGTAATTTTTACCTCGCGTGAACAACGGGAAAACCTACGAATTAACATGTTAGCTCTCACCGTCAACCCCCTTCGCTCCCTTTCTATGTCCATATCATCATTTAAGTCATCACATATAATATGCCCTAAATATTTAACATGATTGACCCTATTTAAAGGATTTCCATTCAGTTTGATTGGTGGTAACTGTTCCACGTTTTTATATTTTTTATTACCCTTTGGTGTAAATAACATAAATTCACTTTTACTTATATTATACTGTAACCCATGACTCTCAGCAAACTGTTCACACAGTTGAAGCAGTTTCCTAATCGCACTGATTGATGGCGCCAGCAGCACCATATCGTCCGCGTAACTAATATTGTTTACACACGTACCGTCTATATAACATCCGATTGGTTGTCTACTGAGGTCATCCATCAGCTGATTTACATAAAAATTAAACAGATGTGGAGAGGACACCCCCCCCCCCCCCCCCTTGTCTAACCCCGCATTTCAAACCATAAGCATCAGAAAGTGAGCCAGACCATTTTACTCTGTTAACTTGGTTACTATACCAATATTCAAAAATAGAACATATTTCCTTTGGTACGTTAGTTTCACGTAACTTTGGCCACAACACGTCATAGCGTACTGTCTCGAATGCCCGCGAGAGATCTAGAAAACATGCAAAAAACCGGTGTCTGTCTGTCTACATAATATTTAGTAACATGTTTAAAGCTTAATATAGCACTTTCTGTGGACAGTTTAGGCTTAAACCCGAATTGCGCATCATGAAATTTTAAATGCTTCACCAACTGCTTATCTAGTAGACGATCTATATCTAAGTAACTACATGGTTTCAGTGATGCATCTAATGCTGCATATGCAACAGAAGTGTAGATTAGATATAAATATCATTAAAATTGTAATCAGGAGCGATCACTAAAGGTTCTCCTATTAAAAAATGACCCGGTGTCAGTGGAGCGGGATCGATCGGATCATCGCTTTCTTGATTTAATGGACGCAAATTTAGACAAGCTTCCACTTGTATAAGCAATTAATTGTGTTTTAGTCTTGGCTGCATAGCGAATACATTGTAAACAGTTACGAATAAAAAAGCGTACTATATTTTTTAAGTTGATGATTCAATACTTAGAACGAACGTAATTACAAGTCAACATTTGGCCGGCATGCATGGTTTAATCATGAGCATCTTTTATTATGAGATTCGCAAGATGTGAATTTCCGAATACAATTATAGGATCTTTTCCTTGATATGATAACTCAGAATTCTCCAAACGACCTCCAATATTTAATACTCCATTTAGATCTATAAATGGATTCTAGGATGTCAATTTGCTATTCCCACTAAATTCTTGATTATTACGTAGTTTTTTTATTTCTTCCTTGAAATATTCTATTTGATGTATTCGCATGCAACACATGTGAGCTTCTTGATATGCAGATGCAGTTAGATAAGAAGTGGGTTGTATCTTATGCAATGTTATCTTGTAATATCGTCTGCAAAACGCAATGACCCGTATTAATTTTCTCAATTATGAATATTAAGAACATATATCGAACGTCTTATCTTCTTTTTCTGAAACAGTATAATGAACCTTTATTGTTCGCATTTCCATCTCTGCTTTAGTTTATATAGAACGATGTTTTCCATACTTTACGCAATCACTTTCCAACCAAGGAGGACCCTTACGCCATAGGAGGTTATCTATCAAATCCGCAGGTGGCAATCCTCTAGACGCATAGTCTGCAGGATTCCCTTTAGACTTTACATAAGACCATTGTGATGAGTCCAACATACCGAGAATTTCTGAAACACGATTTGCAACGAACGTTTTCCATCGGAACGGATGGTCACTCAACCAAGCCAAAACGACGGTAGAATCAATCCAAGCATGTAGTTCTGATCAATGAATGTTTAAAATTCCTGCTACTTCGATAACAGCTCCACATTATTCTAATCGGGGAATTGATACTTGTTTAATGGGCGCAACTTTTGTTTTGACATAAGCGGAAAACCGCTTTCAGATATGCATCTAATATACACTACTGCTGCATATGCAGCATTAGATGCTTCACTGAAACCATGTAGTTCCACTTTTGTATCATTAGTTTGTCTCCTTACACACCGCGGTAAATTTCTTCAAAATTTCTTAACACTGGCAATTCCTCTCGATAGATTTGCCATTCTCGTGAAAGGTTCTTAGGCAACTTATCATCCCAATCAAGGCCAGTATTCCATAGTTTTTGTATGAAAATCTTTGCCTTTATGATACATGGTGATATCCACCGAAGTGGCTCATATAAACGACCAATTTCAGCGATCTGTATCCGGGGTAGGTGAATTTGAGTCCAATCTAACGCTATATTCGAATTCATCTGTTCGACGATTCCAAGAGAGCCCTACGACTTTAGTAATATTATCTTCCTTAAATTCTCGAATAGAATCGGAATTCTCCTTTAATGACTCCAATAGTCCTATTTTGTTACCGGCCCACTTCTGCTACAAAAATCCACCTTTCGACAGCAATTCATTAATTTCTTTGTAAATCGTTATGGCTTCTTCTTCTGTATTACAACCTGTCATTTAATCATCCATATAAATTCGGATTTGACCCGAGGAGCAGCTAAAGGGTACATATAACCTTCGTCTATAGCGACTTGTTGTAAGAATTTCACGGCTAAGTATGGAGCACAGGATGTACCAAAAGTGACGGTCAAAAGTGTGTAATTATCAATTTTTAAATTTGTAACTGTCCTCCATACTACTATTTGATAGTCTAGATGTTTTTTCGAAACTTACACTTGCCTATACATTTTTACAATGTCGGCTATAAGACAGATAGGTGATAGTCGCCATCTCATTATAATGTGTCGTAACTCTGGCTGTAATTTAGGACCCACCATTTAAAGTGTCATTTAATGACAACCCATTTGCAGTTTTATCAGACGCATTAAAGACTAATCTAGTTTTAGTAGTACTTCTAACCATTCGTATAGCATGATGCGGTAACCACACCTTTTCATCACCTTCGTTGAGTCCTCAGTTACAAGTTCCATGTGATCATGTGATGTGATCTTTCACTGTAAATTAACACTTGACATTAATTTTGGTGGCTTCGGTGGCTGCTCTCATTCTCTGGCGTTTTCGTTGTTGTGGCTACTGTAATTGCATCCGATTTTCCATGAAGCAAAGTATGATGCTTACCTTTGCATAAGCGACATTTAGTAAGTACCCGACATGTTTTCCCTGAATGATTAAGACATAAGCAATTAAACCATAGACGAAGCGATTTAACTATATCATGACGGGTTGCTACATTTTCCTGAGAAAATTGACGACAAGAGTACAATTTGTGATTTTCATTAACAATGAAGACAAGTGACATCGGCAATGACGTGTAAAACTTTTGTATTAGTAACTTGAACATTAGCTTTATTCCTATATTTTGTAGGTTCTACAAACTGTAATGCACGAAAACGAGATTCTATAAATTCTTTAAATTGATTATAAGAAGGCAAGTCTTCACATAAATTGTGAAAATGCGATTCCCATTGTTTTCGCGTTTTAGGATCCAACTTGGAACTAATAATGTATATAATTATTATATCCCAAAATTGCACCTTTACTCCTAAATTAGACTTCATGAATACAATCTGATGTAGTACTAAGATCTTTCAAAGCTTGAGCTGATTCAAAAATAATAACACGTTGGCCCATTAATCGTTTCAATACACAATTGAATACATACCGCTTATTGTTATACCTATTTTGCAATAATTCCCAACATTTAATAAAATTAGTGTGTGTTATAGGGATATGTTTAACCAATGGTCTGCTTCGCCTTTTACTTGTGTTTTTAAATAATATAACCTTTGAACGTCATCTAATGATGAATTGTTAATAATTAACGAACTGAACAAATCTCTAAAAGATGGCCATTCTGTATAACTACCTGTGAATATCGGTAGAGAAATTTTAGGTAATCTAACAATAGACTCATTTTTGTATCAGGCAAATCAGAATCTTTGGTTTTTGATGATTAAGCAGTGTTTAACAAAGCATTCAATTCGCTCTTATAAACTAAATACGATAGAATTCATAGCCATTATCAAACACATCATTTTTCACGTAACTACTTGTTTTCAGATCATCGGGCAGATATGATGAAACAATCTTTTCATGTTTATCACAGAAATTCTTTATTAAATTTTCTAATCCTTCTAATCGTGGAGTAACATATGAAACGGTTATTATATCTTTTGGCGATTTTTTATAATTTGCTTTTCCTTTTTTTATTTGTTTATATAAGTCATCCATCACTCGTATATCTGCATCTTGAAATTGCCATCTAATGATACTATGTAATCTGTCGCAACCAAATGGTATAATCAACCAATCAATTGGTCGGCTAGCCTTTCAAAGAAATTGAATGACGCCATTCAATTAAAAGGCTAACCGCACCATTTGGCTGCGCCATAATTAATGTAATATAAATAAATACATCACAGTATATACATACAAATTGGACAGTAACTAATATGCTGATCTTGCTCCACTTCCAAAAATCGCATTCATTTTATCGTAACAGGGCTACCGATGCGACGTGCATCTTTGACATCAAAATTCCGGACTAAAAACTTCATTAGGTCCAATAATGTCACAATTTTTTTTTCGCGACTCGCGTTGCATTTTTGACTTCTTTGTAATAAAATGTTAATATGTTTTGGATTTTTTCACTAGATTCATTCATTTAGACGTAAGAAAATGACACATTTTCCTAAATCTTCTTAAAAATTTAAACTTTTTAATGATACTGAAACCAGCTAGATGTAAATGGTAAAGCCAGAAAGATTTTATCACAAGTTTATGCATACTATATGCGAGAAGACTTTTTCCCAACCTAATATTGAGTTGTCAACTTATATGTCCTCACTTGCAGCACTGATTGCTATGAGCTGTCCAGCTGCGAAGCGGCTTTGGTGCCCAATGGCGGTCTTCAGCCTGCCAGTGCCACGCGTAAAAGGAAACCCTCTTCATTGTAAGTATATACATGTATACATAATTAAGCTATTTTATCATGTTCGATGCCAAACCGAAGGTAATTTTTCCATTATTTCTAATGAAAACTAAAAAGTTAATGGGAAATTATTACTGCAACCATGAAAGCTATATTCGATACATAGCATAATTAGTCGTTCTATTAATGTATTATAATAATGATAAATCAGTTTCTGGATACTAAAATATTGCTTAATTGCAAGGCCAAATACATCTATGCTTCTGAATGATTCGGAATTCCACTTTACTGGGGTGCAAAAGAACAAAATTTTTTTTTATTACACTTTAACGTGTTCATAATAAAATTAAACATTAATTAATCTATGTGATATTTTTAAGATATGTCGAATGATTTTATGTATTTCAGATAATAGGGATGATGACTGGGTAAAAAAATGCAATTCTATTTAGTCCGTCAGTCAGATAATAGAAAAATATTAGATACGTATTTTTTTATCAATTAAAAAAGAAATAGCTTAGATAACCGGCATTAAAGTTGAGGAGTGGGGGCTCGCTACGTCACAGTTGAGTAGAAAACGTACTCTAACTAACGTGACGTCATGCGAAAATTCAACACCATGTAACGCCGTAATTTTATGATTACGAAAAAAATAATAACATAAGTGTTTAATATTTTTAACACTCTACCTGACGGAAAAACAAACAAAAATTATTCATCATCCCTATTGTAATAAATGTATTTTTTAGCTTTTATATTATGATTTGATTATATTTTGTTTAAATTTTTTGCCCTTTTTTATTTTCAATTTTTATTTATTTGTATAAACTAATTTTTTATTGTATCTGAGTGTCAATGCTTGTTATAAAAATGAAATAAATAAATTACTGAGAAACTATTTAACAGAATTAGGTATTAACTTATGGAAAATCAAAAGCAATAACTGTGAAATCACGAAAATCTATCAACTACCACATAAGGCGTCCACAGTTATCACTGAGAAATCAAGTATTGATAGTATAAAGATGGCCAATTACAAGTTTACACTTAAAGGTAATTAAAAAAGGAAGCTCTAACTTATTAGATAAATTGAAAAAAAATATATATATATAGTCTTATATAAGTCTCTATTTTCATTAAGAGAACTTTTAAGTTCTGTCCTATAGTCGTATGTCTATTTCTTTGGACTACCCAATGTCGAACCTTTCAGATACTACATTACTGTTTTTTTTTTTATTTAAAATTCAGGTTTCCCCACTTAGTAGCAGGCTATTTTTTCTGCATGAATTTTTTGTTTTTGTTTGCTGTTTTTCTTTTTCTTTTCATGGGTATTTTCAATACCCTTATCATAGGGATTATTATTTTTCCCCATTCTTGCCTATTTTAGGCATTATTTTTACAGTTTTTCTTATTTTCTATTTATTTTATTCTATTTACATTTTACTTGTTTACATTTTTCTTTGTTTACATTTTTATTCTCTATCTCTATTTATCTGTGTCTATATACAATTTTTCTATTGTTTTCGCATACACTATACATTGGTTGCAGCTTAAATTGAATATCACAGATTTGCTTGTGTTGTTACATTTCATTTCCAATACCTTACATTTCACTTATAGTTATATTTAATCCTTGTTAATTTCTACAGCTTTTTGTACTATGATACATGCATATTTCATGAATTTATTTCTTTCTTCATTATTCATCATTATATCCGCTAATTTTTCCCTACTGAGCTTTGTGTCAATGTACATTTGTAGAGTATTTCTTTCATTATTAAAAATAGGGCATCTAATAGGACATGGAATATGTCCTGTTTTTCTTGGGGGTCGCAAACACAGGAAGGTGTATCCCTACATTTATATTCATGGAGGTACGACCGGAAGCCTCCATGTCCCGTAAGTAATTGTGCAGCCCATCTATTCATTTCTATCTTTCTTACAACGCCGAAGGCCCTCTCCCCACTTGGGAAGAAGGCCTTCGTCGTGGCCGCGGTGCCCTCGCTCCTATAACGGCCGTCCCATTCTACCTTTGTTAAGCTGCGTAAATGCCTCTTAATAAAGGAGATGGGACAGCGGTCATAGTGCGATTTGCACTTACATTACTGGTTAAGGCAGTATCCTAGCAAAATTATACCATAAACGAAGTCCCGAATCTCAAATAAACAAATCTGGATAAAGACCTAGTCAGGCCAATAATTTTTTTGTGCCAAATTTTCATATCATAGAAAGTGTTGATCTTCATACTCGACATTTATTATATTAAGCTTTATTATTCTCATCAAAAGCGTGTACATTTCGTTTAAATAACGTTTTCGAATTGCAGCTCGGAGGTGTACGAGATGTCATGTAGCGATGTCTCGTTGCTGACTCCCACAATGTCGTTATATTCTTCATGCAGCTCTACGCGCAAGGAGAAACTATCCCCTTTGTGAGTTTGAAAGCTCTGAAAATGAGAGAGACGATATTACTTTTGGCTACTCGCATGCTACCATGTGAGATTTCCTATCCACGTGTGTCCTTGCACGTGTAGTACCGAAGGTGATGTTGTCTTACTGATGAAAGCTACTTTAAGACAAACTCCATCTGGGCTGATTGTTATTGGTACGAGGATCGTGGTCCGACCAATAATGTAGGCTGGAATACGCCGTAAAAAATTACGGTGGTGACATCTCGGAATTGTATGTGGTAACTTACAGTTTTCGTCTTGGGGTCGTTTAATTGTGACGATGTTACCTCGAAAACGTCTTTCATTTCACTGTGTCGTGATTCTCTACCAATTATCGCCACATACATCTAAATTTTATAGAAACAATGTACAAATTCGCTACCGTTATGCAGCGCTAGTGTGCCTTGACATTAAACTCGTTACCTAAGACTGGGTACGACATGGGTTTGGCAGCATTAGTATCAAACTAATGTGGCACATTTTTTTAAATTATGTAATGTTTTATTAGTTAAGGTTCTTGCAATTTAATCTTTGTTTAAATAGTAAAATTTAAAATGAGTACCAAAAGTAACGCAAAACACTATAATCATTTAGGTTCATGTCGTTACACTAATGGCACTTTATTTTTTTTTTTTGTGACATTTGTCATAACCACCAACTCAAATAGCGCACAGTTCATCATAGGAGTATGGAGGAAAGTTTATATTTATAATCGTCGCTCTATCTGATCCATCTATTTCCTATCTTAATTCATATTCTGTCTGTTTTTTGTTGGCTGTTGCGATTTGTGTTCATAGTGATGGTTTAACTTAAATTTGATGTATTTATAAAGATTTTAAGTTTTACATGGTTATACTGGCATTGTTGGGAACAAACGTTCCATCCTAAGTTTTGTAAATATATTCGTTATCATCTTACTTCAATCTTGATCTTTTATCGATTGTTATTTACTATTATGAGAAGAGTCGTACTAAAAATTATGGATCAAGTTTGCACTGTTGATACGTAGAACCGCTTATCTATTAGGCAATCAGAGTTTGATCTGTATGATGAAAATGAATCAGGGAACAGCCCCTTCTAATCGTTCACTAGTTTAAAAACCTTCAAACCTAACATGACTGGCAAACTTTAAATTTAGGCAAAACCTACCTAACACTATCTTATAATTATTGAAGTAAAGTAGTTGGCCGAGCGCACCATCAGAAAAAATATAACAGAGCAAACCTATCGCGGCACGAAATAGCAAAGTAACGTGATGACATTTTTGGTAAACAGTCCTTTAATAATATTATACGTGTTTGTGTCCACGCTGTCAGTATATCATACATCTTTCAGCGTAAGCTGTAAGACAAATCCTCCAGTATTGGATGCCGGTGTTCCTCTCCAATCCGTGGATTTACGTTACGTTATAATTATTCCGATATTTTATGAATTTAGCATATTTACAATAATCAAAATGTTATGCACGAAATAAGATGTTTATATGGATCATTTAAGCGTATCAAACCATCAAGTTTTAGTTCAATCGATGGTTAAACATGACTGTCACCCTCCAATTACTTGAAATTTCTAGTCAATTATTGAAACCAATCAAAGTTTTAATCCCTAGGGTGGTCATTCGGAAATTCAGTGTCAAGACGCCTCCAATATATGCTTTCCTTGAATTTTTATTTGTTTTTGATACTTGATTTTCGAGATACATCAAAAAATTGTTTATCATAGAAAAAAAATTTTTTTTTTCGTTCAAGCCAAGTGTATCGGCATGCGTTTCATGGATTTGCTGAGCTTAAAGGCTGGAAATTTTCTCCCGTTATGAGAATTAAACATTCCATGGCAGCTAACTTTCTTTATATTTTTATTTTATAGCAGTGGTGAAAACGACAGTCCTCTGCGATGGAGATTTTAAGTCTTTTTCTATGACTTGATATAAATATATCGGAACAGAACTTATTATTCATTATAATAAATATCAATACTTTAAATACAACAACATCTGATGTTTAGATAAACATGGATTTTTTTAAGTGCATTAAAAATTATTAATTTTAATTAACTATTTTTTTTTCCTAAATTAATCTAAAATTAGAACTAATTTTTTTTGCTACTTCATTATAGCGGTTCTTTTTGGTTCAACAAAATCCAAAATCACTAACGATAACATTAAAGTTATCATCAGTGATTTTTATATAAATAAAAACTCATATCGTTATTTATACTCATTATTAATGTTAACCGTAATGTAGGCCAGATTTCGCTACATAGTATTCGCTACATAGTATATGAATATGAGAAACAGGCTTAGAAATAGTAATTTAGTACATAGATGTAAATAAAAAAAGATTTTAATGTAATCCACAGGTTTTTGTACTTATATAGGAATTATTTTCTTTTTATATGTATGGCGTATTATCATTGTGTATTTTTATTGTTTGGTATAGACCACAAAAATCCTGCAAAGCTAGACTTAAGTAGTGAAAATTCCGTTGTAAAAATTGGGTTCAATTCTGCCAAACTGCGTTTTAATTCCGTAAATAACTAACAAGAAGACGGCTAGTGTGTGGGGTATTCAAAT